AACTGATCGTTGCATGGACATAGTGGCACATACGTTTAGTCCCAGCACTGGCGAGGCAGAGGCAGGTGGATCTCTGTGAGTTTGAGGGCACCCTGGTCTACAAGACAAGTTCCGGGACTGTTAAACAGGAAAACCCTGTCTTGAAAAACAATTAAAAAAAAAAAGAGCTGATCATTGTTACCGATAATCTGAGCACTCTGGATTCTGAGGGGAGCAGGAGAAGCAGGAATTGAGGGCAGCATAGCTGCATAGTGAAACCTTACTTCAACAATAGCAACAAAAATGTATTTTGAATCAAGATTTTATTTTTAAATGTTCATAAGGAGAAAAATAAAGAAATTGGGTGACAAAATATTAGAAACTTGACAACTTAAAATAATAACCTTGGGGATAGGATAGTGTTTATATCATAAAATTTGTATTTAAAAGGAATTGGGAGCGAGCACACACCTGCAAAGACCAGAAGGTGACAGAACCCCTGGATCTGTAGTTATAAGATGAGTGCTGAGAACTGAACTTGGGGCCTCTAAAAGGAGCAGCAAGTACCCTTGACAACTCCTATGCAGAAAGACTTCATGAGTAGCAAAAGGAAGTTAGATTTACAGTAGATGCTTGCTGTTTATAGATAAGTTCTTATCTTATAGTGTATGTGTGAGTGTGTGTGTGGAACTTTAGTTTTTGTCAGATGAGTTTAGAGGCCATATATTGTCAGACTTCAAGAGGAAAAAATATCCTTGTGAAGAGTTTTATCTAATTATTTTTTATCAATAAAAAAATGGGAGTCAGATATCAGGCTAACAGTCTGGAAGATCAGAGAAGTGGCAGGGCAGCCCCCAGTGACCTCCTGTCTCTTCATTCCTCCATCCAAAAAGGGCCGGGATCCTCTCTCAGCCACACTTCACTACTTTCTGTGGCCTGTCTGTCCTCGGTTCTCCAAAACCTCAGTAGTTAATTTTGGTCAGCTAGTGGCTAGCTCCACCCTCTGAGTCCATGCAAGCTTTATTGTCAGAATATGATCAAAATATTACACAACATCCTTCCTTAAAAATGAAGTAACTAAAGCTGAAAAAAGAATGTATTTCCAAAAATTGTAGGTGAACAGATGCCAGTGAGCGATTGATGATTTTAGAGGGCAGGGTGTGGTGGCCCACACCTGTAATCCCAGAATTTAGGAGACCAAGGCAGGAAGATTGCAAGGTCAAAACCACCCTGTACTATGTGGTAATACAACCTTGTCTCCATAGAAATAAGGGAAGCCAAACAAAACTGAAGCCAACGCTGCTAGATAAGCAAAAAGAATTGAGAATTTAAACTGACTTTGGATAGGTGGAAGTTAAAGCCAAGTTCAGAGTACATTAAATACTGAATAAGCAAAGCTCATGACAGAAAGTTCCGTGTCTGTCCATTAATACTTTTTATTTTGTAGAAAACTTCAAACATTATGAGAAAACAAAGGGTAGGAACTGAACCCTCCAAATTCACGTTAATACCAGTATTATGAGTCTGTCTTGGTTTAGGGGCAGTGCTAAGGGTTGAAACCAGGCCCTTGCATATATTAGAAGTGCCTTTACCATGAGCTAGGCACCTTCTTTCTCATCCTTTTCTTTTAACTGATAGAATTTAAAGTAAATCCCTTATGCAACCTTTCTGTGTATATCTTTAATATTAATAGTAAACATTTATACTACTACAGTGGGACCACCATTTGTACTAACCACACTGAGAAAACTAACAAGAATTCTTCTCTACGACTTAATAACCAGACCTTGATCATATTTCTTAATTTGTCTTTAAAATCAACAACAAAATGGGTTTCTTAGAGTCTAGATCCAGACAAGCACACATTTGATAAATGATATCTGTTTCTACAGGATTACATTTCCCCTTCTTATCTACTTTGTTAGAAATCTCCCACTTTGTGGATTTAGCTGATTGCATCCATTTCTGTAAACTAGGAGTTAGAACAAAAGCCTATTTTCATTTTCTATTGTTGCTTTGTTTTGAACAATACTTGTAGATAGGAATGTGATTCATATCTTAGGCAATTCCATCGTTGAGATCAGTTTGACCTACACCACCACAGGAAGATATGATTTACCTTGGCAAGTACCATGAAGTAACCAATAAGATTATTACTATTTTAAAGGTTAGCACTATTTTAAAACTTTTTTTTATTCATTCATTCATTTGTTAGATGATGTACCACAGCACACAGGTTAGAAGACAATTTGGGAATCAGTTGCTTCTCTTCCATCATTTGGATGCTGGATTCAACTCAGGTTGTCAGAGTTTGGTGGCAAGTGCTTCATGCATTGTGGGCCATCTTGCTGACCCAAGATTAGTATTACTAATGCTGAATTCATTCCAAGTGGCAAATGTGGTTAGCACATTCCTGAAAATAATAATTTAACAATTAGCTAAACCTTCATCTTTATGATACCAGGCCTCAATAGATAAAATTCACAACCTGCATTTCTCATACGTGATTATTAAGGCATCAGGATTTCAAAAGGCATATACTTTGCTTTCTTATAGACTACCAATGCACTTGTGCTTTTCCACTTGTGTGTGATAACATTGTATGGTGCTTAGAATTGGCAGTTGGATCGCAAATCTCTTTGTCATTGAATGCATTCTTTAGGTTTATTTTTTTTTATTTTTTTACTTTTTGGCATTGACCAACATTTTGGAGAGCATTAGTTGACTAGGAATTTGAAAAGAGTGGCTAGTAGATGAAACTATAAAGTTAACTCTGACTTTAATCAAGTGTTTAAAGCATAGTTTTGCTGATTGATTCAACTAAATGCATACTGTGCTAAATGAGTTTCTACAGTAGGAATGTTCACAACTGTTGACTTAGTTTCTTTTCCTGTTGCTTTAAATATCCTGACAAATTTGAGGAGGGAAAGTTTTTTGGCTTTTGTTCTGTTTTGGTTTTGACTCACAATTTCAAGTTGCAGTCCTCTACAGTGGGGAAGTCAGGGTGGCAGAAACTTGACGTGACTGATCTCACATCTACAGTCACTGAATGTACACCAGTGCTCAGCTTACTCACTATTTATAGTTTAGAATCCTCTCCTTAGGGAATGGTGCCACCCACAGTGTGCAGGTCTTCCACTAATTGAGTAATTGCCTTCATTGAGTTTCCATCCCAGTGATTCTAGAATGTGTCAGGTTAACAATTAAAACTAGCCATCACAAGCTGGGTGGTGCTGGCACAAGCCTTTAATCCCAACACTTGGGAAGCACAGGAAGTCAGATCTCTGTGAATTCAAGACTAGCCTGGTCTACAAGAGCTAATTCCAGGACAGGCTCCAAAGCGTCACAGAGAAACCCTGTCTTGGGGAGGAAAAAAAAAACTAATCTCACAGAAACAGAATTGGATTGAAATGAAGTCCTGTTCAAGCATAGTTTCAAAGCAAAGCAATCAAAAAACTTAAAAAAAAAGAAAGAAAGAAAGAAAAGAAAACTGTTTTAGGACCTAAGAGAACAAGGCCTTAGTTTTTTTGTTTTGTTTTCCTAATGGGAAATAAATTTTTTTCATATAATATTATCACAGTTTCCCCTCCCTCACCTCCCAGATCCTCCTTACCTCCCCACCTTTCCGACGCTTTCTCTCTCAAAACAGGCAAAAGGAAAAAAGAATAAAATAAGCAAGCAGTGTACAAGAAAACACACATGCAGAGACTTACATAACAAAACACATAAAAATACAAAATCGAAGCCATAATATACAAGAAAAAGTCAAATAAAGTTTTTTTAAATGCAATATGAGACAAATTTCCAATAATACCAATGAGTTCTTGTGTTGGCCATTTGCTGGCCATGGAGCCTGCTCTTCTGTGTGGTTTGTATACTCCATGAAACTCTAGGAGAAACTATTTTTTTCTTTGAGAGCAGTTGTCAATTGGAGATAGCTTCTGGGTTAGGAATGGGAGTTTATGTCTGCTTCCCCATCTTAGCACTGAGACCCCATTTGTTTCAAACCTATGGATGCTGCCACAATTGTTGTGAGTTCATGTGTAAGCCAGTCTTGCTTTGTCTATAAGACACTCTTTCCTTGAAGTCATTCATCACCTCTGGCTCTTCCAATCTTTCCTTCTCTTCCACATGGTTCCCTGAGTCCTGAGGGGGGAGGAGTTTAATGAAGATTTCCCGTTTAGGAGTGAGTGTTCTGAGGTCTCTTGTTCTCTGCATATTATCCAGTTGTGGGTTTCTACTAGTTCTCATCTACTGCAGGAAGAAACTTCTCTGTTGATGGTTGAGCACAATACCGATTTATGAGTATAGCAGAATGTCATTTGGAGTCATTTCTTTGGCGTGATCTTTTAGCAGAATAATTAGGTTTTCCTCTAGGTTCAGTATCTATCTAGTCTCAGGTTATTTGCCACTTTGGCAATGTCAGGCATAGGCTCTATCTCATGAAGTGGGTTTAAATCCAATCTTATAGTAGTTGGTTACTCCAGCATTTGTGCCACTATTGCCAGTGTATCATTCAGGAAGTTCACTATTGCAGGTCAAAGGGTTTGTAGCTGGGTGGTGTTTACCCACTCTCCTGGAATTGTACATAGTGCCTTCCAATACCATGAATGCAAGTCAGTAAGGGTGAAAAAAACCTTAGTTTTATAATGTGCCATTTCTTTTCTAGAAGCAAAAGAGTATTAAGTCCATTGGTTTTCCTTTCTGACTTCCAATATGCTTGTGACATTTAAAATCCTTTTTCTAAAAACGGAGAAGAGTATTAAAATTATTAAACTTGCTGCCAATAAACTGCATTGGAATTATTGTTTTAATTTTTTATTTCTTATAGAAAGAAACACCTTTGATTCTGAACTTGATAATAAAAGAAGAAATGAAAAACCCCAGTTGGATTAGAAAGAATTGGCTTCTTGTGGCTGGGGTGACTTTTGTAGGTGTCCATCTTGGAACTTACTTTATACAGAGAGCTGCAAAAGAGTCTGTGAGGTCTCAATCCAGAGACAAACAGAAGAACATTGAAGAATGAAGCAAAATAAATACTTGGAATTATTAATATCATTAAATTAATATATGCCAGTTATTGTCTGAAAACCGTTTGATTTTGTAACTGGTGATGCTGAATGTGCACTTTCATTCATGAAGAATAGTTTTCATTGTTAAAACGTGACAGTGCAATAAATGGAAAAAAAAATAGAGATGAACAAAACATAGCTGCCTGTACAAGTTCCACCTGAAGCAAGATGTCTCGTTTCGAAGCTAAGAAGCCATCATTGTGTAAAACTGAACCATTGACAAGTGAGAAAGTCAGGTTCACACTTTCTGTCTTGAAAGGAATCCTAGCCTCATGCTATGGCCCTTCGGGGAGGCTGAAGCAGCTGCATAATGGCTTGGGAGGTTGTGTGTGTACAACCTCACAGTCCTCAGCCCTGCTTCGCAACCTCTCAGTCACCCATCCAGTACTGAAGGTCCTAACAGCGTCTGTGCAGAATCATGTGTCCTGCTTCAGTGACTGTGGCTTATTTACAGCCATTCTGTGCTGTAACCTGATTGAAAATATTCAGAAAATAGGCTTGACACCCACAAAGGTCATTAAGTTAAATAAATACCTCTTGGGTCTCTGCACTAGTTATCTCAAGTCTGAAGCCTGTAGTTGTCGAATCCCAGTTGACTTCAGTAGTACACATATCTTCCTTGGCTTGGTCCGCAGTATCTTAACCAGCAAACCTGCCTGTATGCTCACCAGAAAGGAAGCAGATCACATCAGTGCTTTGATTTTGAAAGCTTTTTTGCTTACAATTCCGGAAAGTGCAGAAGACCGAGTCATTTTAGGGAAGAGTATAATTGTTCCCTTAAAGGGCCAAAGAGTTATAGATTCTGCTGTGTTACCTGGACTGCTCATTGAAATATCAGAAGTTCAACTAAGATTATTACCAACCCAAAAATCAAGTGCCCTCAAGGTGGCACTCTTCTGTGTGTCTTTATCCGGAGATTTTTCTAATGCCGGAGAAGGAACAGTAGTGGTCCCTTACCAAGTGTCCCTTGAGAATGCAGTTTTAGAGCAATTGCTTAATCTGGGAAGGCAGCTAGTTGGTGACCAGGTAGATCTTGTCCTGTGCCAAAAAGTTATACACCCATCTTTGAAACAGTTCCTCAGTGAGCATCACATTATTGCCATCGACAGAGTTGGAGTGACTCTGATGGAACCCTTGAGCAAAGTGACAGGTAAAAAGTTCTCTTGGCTTTTGCACCTTAAAGCTAACATTGCCCTCCCTTTTTGAGCAGAGAAGTTTGGGTTGTGTCACTGTTAACACCTTGAAAATATTTAGAAGCCACAAGCCTTACAGCATTTGACTCATTTGATTGACAGCAAAAGTTTTTTGTGGAAAAGATCCCTTTGCCCAGTTACTAGAAACAGAATGTTGGTAGCTGTTTCACAAGTATAGTCTGTTGTGATCTAACACTTAGTATTTTACAGGCAGTTGAAAAGTCTAACATAATTATAAGGTCTTTAATATTGGACACACATTTTTAAATTTACAAAGCTTTTAAATCTTATCTTCATTTTTATCATAATTCCAAGAAATTTCTGTACTTCTGCCCAAATAGTTGTTCCTAATTTGGGAGGCAGGTATATGTATATATGTTTGACATTGACAAAGAATACTTCTAACTGGGTTCTTGAGAACCAAGGGCACCTTTTACAGGAAGAGTTTCTATCAGGCCTGGCCCTCAGACCTTTAAAATCATTGGTGAATTGATGTGTAGAGTAACAGTCACAACTCAACCGACTAAACACATGATTGGTACAAGAGTAAGTTGAAGAGTCCCTTGTGTGAGCCACTTCTTAAATCAGTGTCCTGTAACTGCACTGACAAACTATCAGAAATTATCAATTACATCCATATTGATGGCAGTGGTTGCTTTTTGTCTAACAAGGTCCAGCTATATTGTTAGACCGGTCTTAAAGTGCTGACCCTAATGGAGCCACCTTAGCCCCTCGGTAGTTAGAACTACAGGGTACCTACCTTGTCATTCACAACTCATTGAACTATTATTAAAGGTCACTTTTTATTTGTTTATTTATTTATTTATTTTGGTTTATGAGACAGAGTTTCTCTGTATTGTTTTGGAGGCTGTCGGTCCAGCTCAGCCTCGAACTAACAGAGATCCGCCTGCCTCTGCCTCCCGAGTGCTGGGATTAAAGGGTGTGCCACCACCGCCTGGCAAAGTTCACTATTTAAAAACGGTTTATGCCAAACATTGGATACATTCAGCCAAATGACCATCAAAATGAAAGTTACTAGGAACATGGAAATAATTTTTTGGAATTCATTTTTGGTATTGTAGGGCAGATCTAAATTGTCTACTGATTTGCATTGGTCTGACTGTTTCCAGTTTAGGTAAACTAGGTATTCTGGATTGGCAAATTGAAGTGTGAAACGTTTTCCCCAGCACCAGTGTTGTAAATGGGCACTGATTTTTGTGTGTGTGTGTGTTGTGCTAGTCCAGATTTATTACTTAGCTCAGATACCTAGAACACAGTATAAAAATTATGACTCTATTAGAGTTTTCTGGTCTCTGGACATGGTGGCACATACCTAATCCCAGCACTTGGGTGGAAGGGGCAGGAAGGTCAAGAGCCTCAATCTTCACCTACATAGCAAGTTCAAGGACAGTCTGAACTACATGAAGTATCTTTAAAAAACGAAATCTGGCCTCCGAAAAAAGTGAATTGCTGCAAGTTATAGCTTTGATATTCAAATGTTGTGTTATTTCTTATAGAAGTTTGTGTAGATTTCTATATAATTTAAATACATTTAGAGATACATTATTCAAATCACTTTTATGTGTATTTTTAACCTGTGACTTGTTATTTCCCACATGATAGTGGGAGAATAAACAAATAGGAATGGTATAGTGAAGTAAGTATCTTTTTCTTTGGCACTTACATGCCTATGTACAGTTTTCAAAAGCCCCTAGGCAGAGAGAGAGAGAGAGAGAGAGAGAGAGAGAGAGAGAGAGAGAGAGAGAGAGAGAGAGAGAGAGAGAGTTCCTAAAGAAATAAAAGATTTTTTTTTAAAAAAGGACTTTTCCCACCCTTTTTCAGAATTAATGAGGTCCCTAATATGGAGTTTTTGATCTATAAGTAGGCTTTCAGGGATCCTGGACTTCCTAAAAATATATGCATTTTTTTGCGTGTTTGTCTTTTCCTGAGAGTACAAAATAGCTTTTAAAAGATGTTCAGATAGGTTTGTAAGTTTGGGAATGTGGCTCAGTGGTAGAACATCTGTCTAATATGGGCATGACTGAGTTTAAACCTAGCAACACACACACACACACACGAATAGATAATACCACTTTACCTGATTAAATCATTTATTGAGCCAGAAAGACCTGACCACTGCCTGGCATTATGCCCTAGGCAGGAATTCCTAGACAGTCTAAAGTTGAGAAGACAGCCTAATCACTAGCATGCAGGCATGCAGCCCTGTTTCCTGACTGGGTATAAGAATAGCTGCTTTGGCCTCATGCTGCTGTGACTTCTCTAATGAACTGTAACCTAGGATTGTGTTTCAGAATAACCTTTCCCCTTTTGATGGAGTATTTTGTCACAGCAATAGAAAGATAACTATGAGAATGTTCATAAACCAAAAGAGCCTAAACAAGTAAAGATAGACACATGTACATTTGTTATTCCAGCATTCAAGAAGCTGAGCAGGAGGATTACTGCAAGTTCAAGACCAGCTTGATCTACATGGTTAATTCCAAGCCAGCCAGGACTAAAAGATAGGAATATTATATACCATTTAAATATCAGAATATGAATTTCAGAGATAAGATGTTTTTTATGTATCCTGTATTTCATATTTTAAATGATAGGCTTTGGTGGGGGGGTATACTAGCTAGGAATTTTATTGCTGTTTATTCATTCTAAGAGTTCCATCTTTGCTTATACAGTTTATATTTTCTATACAAAAATAGGAGCAACGCCTATTGGTTCTCTAAACACAATAGCTTCTACTACTTATGGAAGCGTAAAAGATTTGAGCTCTGCAAGATTTGGCTCCAAACATTTTTTCCATCTTATTCCTAATGAGGCAACTGTCTGCAGCTTGCTTCTCTGCAGCAGAAATGACACTGCCTGGGAGGAGCTGAAGGTAGGTGGACTTGCAGGCAGGCAGCAGGGATGCACAGTCACACAGCAGGCACTGCAGGCTGAGGGCTGTGCTGTTTTTATCCTATTTTTCCACAGTCTCCATAGTGATATAATAAGTAAAGACAAAAGGGGGCAGGGCTAGGAACTGGAGTAGAGCATGTGCTTGGTACATACAAGGTCCGATCCCAGCACCAAAGGAGCGAAGAGGGGCTGCAAAGGCTCAAGTAAGCTAATTTAATGCGCTGTTACAGTAAACTTGGGATATATTATACCACTTTTCATTTCTGCCTTTTACAAAAAACCTGAAGGTTCTTGATGTGAAGTTTCTCTGAGAAATTGTTTGAGTTGCCTACAGTGTCCAACCTTTTGACGTGTACCACTTTGCCATGGACAAATGCGTTGCTGCATTCCTAGCTGTTCTGGGAGCCATGTGGCCCTTACACTACAGGTTGAACGTGCCTGGATTGTTGTGTACTGCTGCTAATGTGTATGAATAATTTACTCAGAAAGTGAATTTCCCAATTACCCACCTTTTGGTCGAGTTTATTATTTCCTTAAAGTTTTATTTAAGGGCACTGACAATATATAGAATTGATTGTTAGTTTAAAGATTCATCTTTAGTAAATCAGAGATTTGCATGGTTTTTATATACCAATGCTTGGTGCTATCATTTCTAAACAGGCTTTATGGCATTTGCACAACTTCTTTAGACTTTGATGTTAATGGAAGGACCAGCAAACCTTGTCACAGATGTTTTTAAGCCATATATTTGTGAGCAAAGTAGACGTGAAGGAAAATATTCATCTAATTCCATGAAAACAGACTTGTGGCTTCTATGGCTCTCTTCCTTCTCAAATCTTTATTGGAAATGTTTATTAGTCACATTACTACTTTGATAAAATAGATTTTGTTCTTTATGAATTAAAATATGTGCTACTGAAATATCTGAGTGGGTAAAGGCACTGAATACCAGACCTAATGACCTGAGTGCAATTCCCAGGATTCATGTGGTATGGTGGACGAAGAGAACTGACTCCCACCCAGTTGTCCTCTTAAGTTCTCACTTATACCATAGCACATGTACACACTGACCCCCTACACACAAAAAATAAGTAAATAAACAGAGCTGTTTTACATAAAACGAGTCTGGACACCAAGCTGGATGACTTGGGTTCAATTCCTAAAACCCACACAGTAGAAAGAAAAATCAGACTCCCAGAAATTGCCCTCTGACATCTGCTCATGTGTCTCCACATGCACCTCCCCCTGCCACACATACAGAAAATTAAAAATTAAAACTATGGCTCTGAGTTCACAATCTAAGTTACTATGAGAGTATGGTACAGTTCACATACCAGAGTGAGATCCTGATTATATGTTTCTTCCTTAGCTCACATGTCAAACAGCAATGCATGTCTTGCAGTTAACAATCAAGGAACCATGGGTTTTACTGGGTGGTGGCTGTACAGAAACACATTTGGCTGCTTATATCAGACACAAGGTAAGTTAAACATACTCTTCACATTACTTAAATCTTCAGCAGTTTTTGTTTTGTAAAACAATGGCCAAATCCTAATACCCAAAAACTTTTGGTAATTAACTTTTCAAAACTCAGATAATGTGGTGGAAAATATTTCAGGAAAGTAATACTTATAAATACTAGGTGCTAATTGATTATATTGATTATTGTGAATCTACTCTAGCAAATGGTCATGTTCTTTGAGCATTATCCATATGTAATACACGTTGAAGCTGACATTCTGTTATTGGGAGTTCTGAAATTCAACAGCACCTGATGTTCTAATTGTAATTTGAAAAAGCAGTGCAAGAGAGAAAGACATCATGAGACTGAGCTCATATGGAGGGTTTTTATTAGGGGAGGGGGAATGGGAAAAGATGGGAGAGAAGGGGAGAGGAGAGACCAACTTTTGGAGACAGGATCAGCAGAAGAGAAGAGGCAGAGGGGGTGGGAGAGAAGGAGAGACAGACAGGCAGAGAAGCAGAAAGAAAAAGATGGGAGGTGGGCAGGGCCCTTTTAAAAGGGAACGTAGTGAATGTGCACAGGTGGTGCTCTTAGTGGCTGCAGCTGAGGGCATATCTCTGTCAGATCCCCAAGGACAGGGCAGTACAGATGCCCAAATACTAACACTAATGCTCACAATAAAAGGGCTATGGTTGGAAAAATTTATACTTTCCAGAAAAATGAATAGTACTTTTCCCGAAAAGAACCAACTTCATTCGTTAACACATTCCAAGGATCAGATTTCACATTTACTGTTTACTTCCTGTGTGCATGCACACATGGCATGTGTGTATTCATGCATGTGTGTGTTCAACAGGCCATGGTGCCTGTATGTGAAGGTCAGAGGACAACTTCCATGTGTGGATTCCAAGGATGGAACTCATGTTGTTGTCAGGCTGAGTGACAAGACCCTTTATCCACTGATCCATCTCTCCAGATTGTCATCACAGTTTTTAAATGGGTATCTGCCTGGTACATACTAATTCTACTATCTAGAACTTCTTGTTAGTCTCCATTTGCTGAAAGTGGTTACATATATGCATTATAGGTCTGATTAGTCATTTCATAAGTCCTAGCATACTCTGTTTGAAAGTGAATTTAAAAAAGATAAGCATGTTCTACACATATTCCCAGTTGACAGGTTCCTGAGAGGCCCTGCAGAGTTTCCAGGGGGTAACTGGGCTGAGAGAGACAATAAACAGTTTTTACAGACATGATCCTATCACCTTTCCCAGATCACTTCCAATGCAATTGAAGATAAAGTTACTGAAAAGTTATCAAAGTATATTTTATGGAAAATAAAATCCTAGCCAATCAGTGGGTAGTAATGGATAATATTGTTATCTACAAACAGGATTTAATGAATAGAAAAAATATTTTGGAGAAAAGAGGTATCTTAAGTATATTTTTGAAGAAACAGTACAGTATTGAGCAATGGGGAAAATGTATAATATAGATTATGTAATCTAACTTTTAAGTCTGGCTTCAAAAGAAGAGAGGAACTGTTTACACAGAATGGGGATATGGGTTCTCAATCATCAGTTATCAGCTTGCTTATTTACCAATTCTGTTTTAAGTCATTTCCATGGAGCTTGGGAGATTGCTCAGGGTAGTATTTGCTAGGCAAGCAGGAAGACTTGAGTCTTGCAGCCGTGTAAAAATTCTAGCACTGGGAGGAGGAGACAAGAGAATCCCTGGTGCTCACTGGCCCACCAGCCAGCATACCCATTCAGTGGGAGGCCCTGTCTCAAAAACGAAAAGTGGGGAACAAGAGACAAAAGTATCTGACCTTGACGTTTGGCCTCCATACATGAACACTGTTCTTGTTCTCACTGTCTCTATCTTTCCCTCCCTCCCTCCCTCCCTTCATCCCTCCCTCCTTCCCTCCCTCCCTTCTTCCCTCCTTTTCTCTCTTCATCTCTCCTTTCTTCCTTTCCCCTCCAGAATAATTTAGGAAGTTGGAACTAAGAGGAGATTTAAAGTCTAAACACCTTTAAATTAAATTAAAGGGAAGAATCTTCATTTTTCAAACATTGAAGTGAAAATTACACATACCCATAAATTATCTCTTAATTATAAGTTTTCAATATGATTTTAAGCAATCTCAAGCATTTAGCTAATAAGTACTTTATTTGGGACATTACTCTTCAGCAATTTTGCCGGGTATGTATGTTGTCTTGTTAATCCTGTAACCTGGGTATTGCCCTTTACATATTTAAGGAGGTAACTATCAGTCAACCATTTATAATAAGCTAATGAAAGGGTCTGTCCATTCACTCTGCTTACATGACTGGAAATATACATTGTTACTCTGGCCTACCAGGTTGACTCACACAGGCCAATCAACACTGTTGCTAAATCCTGAGGAAATGAAGGTGAATATAACCCTATGAACAAGGTTTTGATCAAGTATTGTGTTTTTCTGAAGCATTTTTATATTAGTTGATCTGCATGTTTTCTCTGGTCTTATTCCTCTTTAGGTTCATAATGAGGCAGAAGACGTTGTCAGAGAGGATGGTTACTCTCAAGCAGAACTCCGGATTGCTACTGAAGCATTTTGCAGTGCTCTGGAGTCCGTTGCTAGCTCTTTGGAACACGATGGCGGTGATATCCTCATTGACATGAAGTATGGACACTTTTGGTCAGGTCAATCTGATTCTGCTTCTGTTGTTAACTGGCAGGATATGCTGTCAAGGTGTGGGTGTGGCTTGTACAACAGCCAGGAAGGACTCAGCTGGTCTTTCTTAAGAAGCACCTATCATCCTTTTGCACCTCAAAAATGCCTTTCACAGGCAGCTGTGGGCACAGCCAGCAACCTGACTGTGGACTGTTTCACTGCCAAGCTTAGTGGCCTACAGGTGGCTATAGAGACAGCCAATTTGATTTTAGATCTTTCATATGTCATTGAAGATAAAAACTAACATAAGAGATTGGCATATTTATGTTATGAAACAAACCAGTTCAGATGTCTAAGAAAAATGGTTATCATATTGTTCTCTCCAAAAGGCCTGTTCTGTGTAGGTGGAGAGATGATTTTATAAAAGTGTAGACTTACCTGCTTAAGGAAGGGTATGGATGTTAAATAGAAATTTATAGACTAATAAAAAATTCCTGATGCCTTTGCATCATCACCATCACCCCACTTTTATAAATACTATAGGTAGTGTGTCACCTAAGAATATGGGAATTGCCCTTGTACTTTTTTCCTGCTCCAATGAGGGGTTACCCTGAACCTTTCCCAAGATAAGAGTCTTCACTTTTCATGATTTAACTTTTCATAAAACTTGATATTTTCCTTGATGTAACATTGTTACTCTCATTTTAAATATTCTAAAAATTTGTTGGGATGTTTTAATAAACTCATTGTGTTCCATAAAGTTGTATATAATCTTTCCTGGAAAATACTGGAAATGCAAGTAAACATAAGTCACATGCTCTTGTAATCTCAACTACTACAGAATTTGAGGCAGGAGCATTACTCAAGCCAAGCCCATGGTCTGCCTAGACAATAGTAAGACCCTTCTTAGATGCAGAAGACAGCACTTCACTAATACTTGAAGAAATTTATCCAAATTCATTCTGACAGAAATAAATGACAAAAAATATAAATTCATCATAAGCACATTGTTGTGATTAAAAGTAAGACTAAGGACCAAGAGAGATGACTCAGCAGTTAAAGACCACTGGTTGCTCTTCCAAAGGACCTGGGTTCAATTCCTAGCACCCACATTGGCAGCTCACAACCTTCTATAACTCCAATTCCAAGGAATCAGACACCTTTTCCAACCTCCTCAAGCACCAGGCAGGCACATAGTATACAGACATCCATGCACGCAAACTACTTGTACATGTAAACTAATTATAAAGTAAGATTGAGATCAGAGTATTGCCTTAGGAGGTACATCAGCAATCAGAGCAGAAACGACTGATAGCTACTGGCAGGGAGATAGTGATGCAGAAGCAAAGGAAGTTAGTGACAGTGACCTGCGGCTTTTGCTAGGCTCACAGGACATAGAGTAGTAAAATGACTGAACCAAGTGAGTCCAATGAAATTAACATCTTACAATCAAAAGAAATTAGAGATGGGACAGGAAAAAAGTGAAGAGCTAAAGCAAATATTAAAAGAACTTTTCACTCAGAATACTTGTTTGGTCTTGTAGCTACCTCACTGGTATTGTGTTAGGAAATCTCTGTGTTAGATACAGACCAACACTGCACTGTAATAAAATAATTTGTTCAAGGTACTTAAATCATGCAATTTTTGTTCCTTCTGATAGAGGTATATTTGAACTCACTAGTTTGCATAATTAAAATATATAGACATTACCATGGTGGAAGCATAATGCATTTCCTTTTTTATTAAATTCAATAATTTAGCTTTTCTAGCCTGATCACAATTTCCTCTCCCTCCTCTTCTCCCAGTCCCTCCCCCACAACATTCACTACCCACCCCCATCCATTCCTCCTTTCTCTTCAGAAAAAGGGAGGCCTCCCTTATATGTCAGTCAGCCATGACATATCAAGTTGCAGTGAGACTAGGCACCTTCTCTACTATCAAGGCTGGACAAGGCAACCCCGTAGGAGGAAAGGGTCTCCAAAGCAGGTAGCTCCTGCTCTCACTGTTAGGAATTCCAGGAAAAGACCGACAAAGCTACACTATAGTGAGAGATCCACCCAGCAGTACCATTTGGGCGTGGCCACAGGTGCATACGTGAGTGTGTGGTATTTGGACTGGGGGCTGGGACAGGCTTGTGCTCTCTTGGTTCTGGTCGGGTCACAGAGAGCAGCCTGAGTGTGGATCCTCGGGGAAGGAACTTGTGGGTCATGGGTTTCTTATGTAAATGACTTGTCCCTGAATAAATTTAACCTATACTTAACTAAGTCCTATGTATTTTAATCTGTGCATCTACACTACACAACTATAACATCTATACAGAGGGCCTAGTTCTGATCCCTACAGGCTCTCTGGTTAAGGATTCAGTCTATGTGAGCCCCATGAGCCCAGGTTAGTGAGTTCTGTGGGTTTCTTTGTTGTGTTCTCCACCTCTGTGGTTCCCACAATCCTTCCTCCCTGTCTTCTGTAGGATTCCCTGAACTCCACCTAATGTTTGGCTGTGGGTCTTTGCATCTGTTTCCATCCACTGCTGGGTGAAGCCTCTGATGACAATTGGGCTAGGCACCAATCTAAAGTATAGCAGAATACCATTAGGAGTCATTTATTTGGCTTTTTATTGCCAGTAATGTTTGGTTCTATCCTAGGTCTCTGAATTGTCTCGCCTCTGGATCCTGGCCTTCCAGGCAGTATCAGGAGTGGGCTCCCTTCATGGAATGGTCTCAAGCTGGACCAGTCATTGGTTAGCCACTCCCATAATTTCTGTGCCATCTTTACCCCAGCACATCTTGTAGGCAGGGCAAGTTGTAAGTCAGTGGAAGTCTTGCCAGGTTTCAGGAGATGGACAGTTCAGACTCTATAGCCCATAGTACTAAGAGTCTTACATAGGGTCACCCTCATAGATTGCTGGGAGTTTTCATTGCAAAAGGTTTCTAGCTCATTCCAGAGATGCCCCTTGATTCTAGGTGTTTCTTCTAGTACTCTCTCCCTGCATCCTCACCCCCTCACCTGATCTCATCCCCACTACCACATCCTTTGCCCACCATCTGTGATGTCCCTTCTATTTCCCCTTCACAGTAAGATTCTTGTACCTCCCCCTCCACCTGAGCCCTCCTTGTTACCTAGCTTCTCTGGGACTGTGGATTGTAGCCTGGTCACTTTACAGCTAATATCCACTTATTAGTGAGTACATACCATGTTTGTGTTTCTGGGTCTGGGTTACCTCATTCAGAATGACCTTTCTAGTTCCATCCATTTGCCTAAACATTTCATGATGTCATTGCTTTTAACAGTGGAGTAATACTCCATTGTGTAAATTACCACATTTTCATTATTCCTTCTTTGGTTGAGGAACATCTAGGTTGTTTCCAGTTTCTGGCTATTACGGAAAAGCTGCTATGAACTTAGTTGACCAAGTGTCCTTGTGATATGGTAGAATGTTCTTTAGATATATGCCCAGGAGTGATATATCTGGATCCTGGGGTAGATTGATTTCCAATTTTCTGAGAAACTACCATATTGGTTTCTAAGTGGCTGTACAAATCTGTACTCTGTAGTAGCTTGAATATAATTGGCCCCCAAAAGCCTGTGGGGGAGTGGCATTAATAAGTAAGGCTTGGTTGGAGTAAATGTGGCTTTGTTGGAGGAAGTGTGTCACTGTGGAGTTGGGTTTTAAGGTCTTATATATGCTCAAGCCACACCCAGTGTCTGAGTTCACTTCTCATTGCTTTTAGATCAAAGATGTAGAATTCTCAACTCCTTCTAAAGCACCATATCTGCCTGCATGATGCCATGTCCTACCATGATGATAATGGACTGAACCTCTGAACTATAAGCCATCCAATTAAATGTTTTCCTTTATAAGAGTTGCCCTGGTCATGGTGTTTCTTCACAGCAGTAGAAACCCTAACTAAGAAGTTGGTGCCAGCGACTGGAGTAATGCTGTAATGTGACTGACCATGCTTTTGTTTGAAGGAATATGGATTTTAGGATTGTGCTTTAGAAAAGCAGTTGGAGGGCTGGAGAGATGGCTCAGAGGTTAAGAGTGCTCTTCCAGAGGTACTGAGTTCAATTCCCAGCAACCACATGGTGGCTCACAACCATCTGTAATAATGCCCTCTTCTGGCCTGCAGGCATACATGCAGACAGAACACTGTATACATAACAAATAAATAAATAAATCTAATTAAGAAAAGCAGTTGGATGCTTTAATTACTGTTTTGTGGGCCAGCCTGTAGGAAAATGGAAGACAGTGATGTTGAGTGCGATTTGAACTGTGATTGCCTGGATCAAAAAATTTCAGAGGAGAAAAATGTTAGTATGTGACCTAGAGACTAGTCTTAAGATATTTTGGTGAAGAATGTGGCTGGTTTTGTTTTGTTTTGTTTTTGACGTTGTTTGAAAAGTCAATCTGAGGCTAAAGTGAAGAGTTTTGGATTAATTCTGTTGGCAGAGGAAATCTCAAACCAGACTAGTATAGATAGACTGTTGTGTGGTTATTAGTGTTAACTCTAATGAAGATTTATCATGAAAAGGAGCAAGGAAAAATACAAAATGTAAAATTTGAGGAGAAGGGAGCACCAGGAAATGGAATGGAGCCAAGCCTTCTGTTCAAGGAGATAAACAGATTAAGAAATGAAATACAAGGAGTGGTGACCTCAGGGTAAGATCCTATCCAGTTAAACTTCTAACTTGTGAAAAGGAATTAAAGTAAAGGTTAGTGCCACTTAATCCTTATCCACCTTTGCCACTTAACTACAAAATTCATACCTGAATTTTGCATTGTATAACAATTATTTGCATTGTAAATAAATTAATTTATTCCTTTATTAATAATAATTCTCACAAAATATTGTATGTCCCTTGAAGACTGTGCCTGTATATAAATAAGTACGCTGGTGTTCTGAGAACCAGGGAATACTATTATCCGTGCTAGACTATGAATTTGGAGTTTGATAATGTATTAAGAATATGCATAGAGGAAATAGTGATAATGACCTTTATTCCTGAAGTATTGTGATTTCATTTTGAAAAATACTAATTAAGCTCTTTGCTTGCCAAGCCCAATGGTTAATAGTACTAGAGGGGAAAAAAGAAAATGAAAGAAACATAATATTTTTTCATAGTCCCTTGCCTCAAGGAACTGACCAGAAATACATAGGTATTTTTATAAAGAAAAATGTAATTTTTATAATGATTGTAAGCATTTTGCTACTGCAATTATAGAAAAATTGCTAACTATAAACCTGACAACACACAAAAGAAAAACAAAGCCTAGTCCTAGCTGTCATGCTTTGCATGTTAGGTTTTCCCCCAAATGTCTGGGTTCCTAGAGTCTCAAGCTCAGAAATAGGGCTCTGGGGAAGTGACTGGATCATGAGGGATCCACCTTCAGCAGTGCATTATTCTTAGATAGATACAAAATAGAACAGCACTCTAAGGAGGTGGTACAAAATAAGACGTATGACCCTATTGGAGGAATTGAGTCACTGGATGCATGCCCTAAAAAGGTATATCTTGCTCCCTGCCCTACCCAACAATGTCTCTCCCTGCTTTCTGTCTACCATGAAATAAATTACATTTCTTTACATGTTCCCAGCTATGGCCTGCTTTGCTTCATGCTCACAGCCATGGTCTCTGCAAACCATCAGCTGACCACAGAATCTGTCAGAGAAAATAAGTCAGTTCTCCAAGAGCCCAGCACTGTAGTGTGCATCCGTAATCTGAGCACCTGGAAGCTGAGACAGGACAATGATGAGCCTGGGGTACACAATGAGATCTCATCTCAAAACCAAACAAGCAGACTCCTTTTTAAAAGGTTTTTATGTCAGAATTTCATCACAGTGATTAACTTAACTCATGTACTATTCTGAGATAACCAGTTTACATCCCATCTAAATCTATTTAGTTTGTTTCCCATGGAGCTATTCAAAAAGTGTAATTGTGCATATGCGGCTTAATAATCTCCTTTCACTTAGCAAATTATCAGTTTACATTCTAGCCTCTATAGGATTTTTAATACCTGAAGAAGTGCTTGGTTCTATACTCTGGAATAATACCTGAAGAAATGCTTGACTCTGTACTATGACGTAATGTGGTCTGTGTGTTCAGTGTTAGGAAGTCTTTACGCTGCTTTTCACTCTTGTTTTACTAAAAATAATATAGTAAATAGATATAGTAAACACCGTATCATATTATTTTCCCAGAATTTCTAGGGTTTTCAACATGGGAAGGCTACATATTTTCTGCACTCATTAATAATTTAAAACTGAAAACTTATGAAGAGGAGTCTTTTAACGTGCATTTATTAAATTGGCAAAGATAGTAACTAGTGTTGACATGATGCTGCTCACTGGTGGACTGTGTTGATACAATGCCCAGAAGACCCTTAGACAAATTCATTTGGCCAAAAGCTTCTTAATCATCCTATGTGTTCAGTCAGTATGTGTATCCTTCACATATGCATTTGTATCTTTGTATTTGTTTTTACACATACATCACTAAGGATATTCACATGCCAAGTAAATTTTGAAAGCAAAAGCATAGCCTGTCTTCGTGGTGTCAGCTTCCTAACCAGCTACACACCATCAAACTACACATCATCAAGAGCACTGTTTTGTAATTTCTATTGACAGCAGCATTGGAACACCTATGTCATATGTTAATTTTAAACAACACACCATATAGTGCTGGGGTTCAAGTCCAGTGACCCTCACAAGCTAGACAACAACTCCCTGGTGAGCTCCACACTAGCCCATTACTTCTAACTCTTTGTAAAATGGGATGTTAAGTTAGGTCCTCAGGCAGCTGTAAAAAATTAATGTTAGTACAGTGACTCGCAGCTCACTTCTTCTTGAAGTTCTGATTGCGAGAAGTCCAAACTCAAGGTTACAGCAAAACTGTGTTCCCATGAAGGGCTCGAGCCTTTTTCTAGTTTCTGCTAACTGTTGGCCATCTTTGTTGCTTGGAAGTGGCCTGGCATCAGATGAGTGAAGGGAACAGGTTTTTTGCCAAGTCTAAAGATATAGACAGAGATGCCATCATAATGAAGCAAAGGTCAGTTAGAGGTCACTTCCATTGGCCATTTTGGTCCCAACTGGTTTTGAGTGTCTGTATGTCTTTACTGTTTGAATGATGGCACAATGTCCTGCTGCAATATGACTCTGTCATTATTCTAGTATCTAAACCTATTTCCCCCTATAGTTCTCTGGGCTCATTATAATACCACCAGCATATTGTTTAAATTTAACTCAAATCCCTCCAGCA